AATGATGAGGAGAATTGCGGAAAGTCAGAATGCAAATCATGCAAAAAGGACACGACATGGATCGGAAAATACCTTGTGATATTGCGGGAAGGGGGAAGGGTAACCATCATGACGGAAGAAATGCGCCTCTATGAAGGGCTACGATCAGCAGGAAGGTGGACAACTGGGAAGTGAGAATGCATTCGGGAGTACGTACCGAAATGCCGTGAACATCACTATCATGATCACCGCAAGAACTTTGATGCTCCAATGATCTGCCTTCACAAACACTTTTCCTAGACAATATAAAAAAGCAGCTAGCCATAGCAACCACTCAAGGAAAGCTGCAAAGATGACGGGACCCAATATGGAAACATAGACGATCTTCAATGTAGAATATTAAGTGTTAGCAACAAGGATATTTTCACCGCAGCGTGTTAAAACAAAAAGGACTTACATCCTTTATTGCCCATGGAGGTATATCCTCATCGTCGTGACCCGCCATATTTGAGCAGGTACTTTAAACTTCCAATATCGAGGCAGCGTCAAAGAGAGAAGAGGAGGTATATCGTTGATAGACTCAAATAGGAGATGAATTCAGGATCGCACCGAAAACGAAAACGACATACGCCACTAATCGGTCAAGTTGATCAAGCTAATGCAGATTGCCACTCAGTACCCCGGTCATTTCAGACATTGGCGTGGGAGAGAGATATGCAGCCGCAGTGGAGATGCTGCCGTTGCCTGCAGGAAGCCGGAGTCTGCCCAGCCTAACACCATAGATATAGTGTCGAAGAGGTCAATAAATGGATAACCTATGATATATTTCATGTATGATTCAAGCTATAAGGCCGTAACAGGACATGATTTGTGTCCCTCTTGCAAATGGTTGGCCAAGTTGCTGCTACTGGGCCAGTTAGAACGTGAATGGCGAGCGAGTGACAACAAAGAGATCAGCAGCAGGGAATGGGATATAAGACTGCGTTTTATCCAGTTACAACAACAACACACACCAACATACACACACACACTATCTCACACGGGGTCTGCCGAAGCAGACCACACAAAGAACATGATGTCAATAAATATAGCAATGTCTTGGTGGTTGATGTTGATGCCAGAAGTCTGCGGCAAACAGAACGAAAGACCTGAGCTTGGCGGGTTGGAGCAGAGAAAACAGCAGGAGCAGCCAGCCAGAACGCGACATTCCGACTCGGCGTTTCGAGCACTGCTGCAGTCGGTCAGTGGAATCATCCTCGCGGTTCCAGGGAGGAATCCGCCGTACAGCAGCACGCAGCCGGGATTGCTGCCGAAAGAAAACGGCTATATAGAACCAACATTGGCTACTAGTTTTACGCTCGAGAGATTAACTAAGTGGTTAGGGGAGGGATTTGTTTGCGGGATTATAGTCAAAGAGAATAAGCATGGCCACCAACATATAGTTCGAGGCCTCCACCACCAAAGAAACCTTGGAGTAATGGGCAGTCATTGTCATTGTGATCGTCTCCATGCCATTGAAAATAAACACCACAAACAATTAGCTGCTTGGATGTCGAACAGAAGCTCGGACCGGAACAACAACGTCCCGGTGGCCCTTGCTAGCTGCTATAAACTTCGGACCAGCAAAAAATCTCCTTTTACAACGCAGTTATCTAATGTTTGTATGGTCTCTTTCGGCGGAGTATAGCCTTCCTCACATATATATTTAGTTCCAGATTAATTGATCAGGAACACGATCTGTCTTCATATCTTGTGCAGTTACTCCTCCCCCGCCATTCCTCCTGTGCGGTCGAATTTTCCCCGCCCTTGTACCTATAGATTCGTCTGTTCCTCTCGGTCAATTGGAAACAAAGAAATTCTCTAACATAGCACATTTTAGCCCTTGCGATATCAGATGATTTAGGTCTGCTACTAGAATCCCCGTTCACTTCTTTGCTGTCTGAGAAAGCAGAGAAGGCAACCTCTCCTCGGCACCAGCAGGGTTGGGACAGTTTTGTCTCCATTTGTCCATTGGTGTCGCTCTCCTTTGAATCCTGCGTTTTGTTTTGTTAATAGATTGAGTCGTCACACAAAATGGCTGAGGAACGGAATCAAGTCGCCATTCCCCCGGAAGCCAATTCCAACGTACAGGCTGAGGACGATTTGAAGCAGGTGGCAGAGCTCAAGGCCCAAGCACCAATGAAAGGGGAGGGGCAACCTGTTACTCAAGAGCCCAGTGGGGAGAAATATGCAAACCCAGATACTAATGGCAAGCCTTCAGAAGGACAACAAGGTGGTGTGGAGGATGAAGATACGGAAGCCAAGGAGGAAGCTAGAATTATTGCGGCTGCCGCAAAGCTGGGTCAAGATGCTGAATCAAAGAGTGACTCTAAGGATGGTGAGCTAAAGGACACAAACAGTGACCAAAGGCAATCGTCACGAGGTGGCCGCGGTGCCAATCGCCCACGCGTAAACTATCGTGACAACATCAAATCAGATGTCTCGACGCTGAAAGAGACGAGCGACCCAGACGAGATCCGTAAACAGGTCCGCTTCCCCACATGCCTGGTGTGATCGTGTTTTTCAAAAGGTACATATCCCATATCTTTCTAACTTCTGGACTTCCTCACAGGTCGAATTCTACTTCTCTGATTCGAATCTTCTCATGGACAAATTCCTCCTCTCTAAAGTGGGCGGCAGCGAAAATCGCCCCGTCGAACTGTCCCTCCTGCACTCATTCAAGCGCATGCGTCGTTTCCAGCCATTCAGCGCCGTTGTCGATGCGCTCAAGGACTCAAAAACTCTCGAGTTGACCGACGACAATACCTGCGTCAGACGAAAGGTGGCCCTGCCGGAAACAGTCAAGGATTCGCTGGATCCTACTGTGGTCAAGGTTTTCGAAAATAAAGCCATGCACCGTAGCATCTACGCGAAGGGATTTGGTCCCGAGGAACCGAGCACGCAATTCGACATTGAGGCCTTTTTCACACCATACGGCCCCACCAATGCAATTCGCCTGAGACGTACAGCCGAGAAGATTTTTAAGGGAAGCGTATTTGTTGAATTTGACAGCGAGGAGACGCAAAAGGCTTTTCTGGCCCTCGAACCCAAGCCAAAGTGGAAGGGTACCACGGAACTCCTGATCAAGAGCAAGAAGGATTATTGCGACGGGAAGATGAAGGATATTGAAGCTGGTCGACTGCGGCCCAATACCGGCCGGGGCAGAGGTGCTCATAGAGGGCGAGGCCGTGGGGCCTCGAGCCACCACGATCGTCGTGGGGATGATAATAAGAAGAATTTTAGGGGTAGTCGAGGTGGACGCGGCCAGAGAGGAGGTAGAGGTGGTCGTCAAGAGGCTCAAAAGGATTCTCGGTATGTATACATTATATTGGCACACATCTGTCCCATTTTCAGCTCCCATATTCAGGAATCCTATTCTCCATGGTTGGTTGGTCATAGCTAACCCTTCTCTTTCCCTTCTTCCATTTCTGTCCTCGTAGTGGTGTCCCCGTCATCCAGGTGCCAGCAGTAACGGATAACCCAGCAGCTAAGGCAGGCCAGAAGCGTTTGCGGGAAGACGACGGTGATTCTGCTGCTGCTACCACTGCTAATGGCAACGGCCATTCATCTGCTTCCAATGGAACCAGCGCTGCCAGCGCTGATGTCGGAGCTCCCCCAGCCAAAAAGGTCGATGTTAAAGAGTCATGATAATTGTATCTTACCATAGTTATATTCTTCTTCGTCTTTTTCTTTCCAGTTGAGCCCATTGAACGGGTTAAAGGAAATATCCAATGGCAATGGTTTGTTCATAGTATTCAAGGGAGGGAATTTCATTAGATATCGAAATTTATTACTGAACATGAATTTTGAGTTTAAATGCCAAAAAAAAAAAAAAAAAAAAAAAAAAAAAAAAAAAAAAAAAGACAAAAAGTCCCCCTTCAAGGGAGGGGTTGGGTGTGATTGATATGATATACTGTGTATCGGCTTCCTCATTTACCCATTTGTTTTCATGTCCATGTTCAATTCTTTTGATGTCATTCCTCCTTTTTTCACTCATTCATTTCTTCTTTCTATTGATTCTCTCGCCAAGTCGGATCTTTGTTGCATTTGGTCGCTTATTTTTCTCATCTTGTTTCCTATATTCCCTGGTGAGCACTTGGATTTTGCTCTTTTCCATACGCTACTTCTATGGGCGTTGTCAGTCATGTACTGTGAGCTGTATTTGGGTTATTTTATCTTATTTATTTTATTACATGTTAGCTTTTTGTGTATGGAGTAGATGTTGCTACAAATATAATGAAAGCTCTTTCTGATGATATACGGTGGATTTTATTGGGGGGAGAATATGAACGGCATGTGGGACATAGAATAACAATAATAGAAATCCTGCTGATCGGCATTCTGATACCAAGCTTGATGCACTCGCTGGGCCATATCCCAATGCATAAATCATCCCTCTGACCAACCCCCTCGTTTCATAGCGGCTCGTTTACGGTGGTATATAAATCATACATCGTGATCTATTCCGAATCTCTTCCTGCCATACATCTTGGGGCAAGGATAAATTCGAATTTCAAGAAGAAGGCAAGAAAATAGGAGGGATTTGAAAAAGAAGAAGTTTATCGTCAAAGTGAACGAAAATACCAACCCCCCTACGCTCATACGTGAAAGATTTGAGAAACACAGCCCATGCTTATAAACGCGCCTTGGAGTGGGGTTTTGGAGGAGGAGTGATTCTCCGATCAAGCCTTCGCTTCAGGCGATCAGCGTTTACCTTGTAAGTGCGCGGGAACCAGCTGTACAGGTCGTTTTCGTTGTCACCAAATAACATGCTTGTGACGGCCTGTGCGCAGAGGAAGCAGGACACCATTCCTAGAGTTTTGAAATGAATATCAGCAAAGTCGAATAAGATATATATATATATATATTGGAAGAGAAGTATTCGAAGATCAGGGTGTGGATGTTGATTTACCATGGCCTTGAAATGATGCCGAGATGAACAAACCAGGCTCCCCTGGCATCTCCCCCACCAGCGGGTACCCATCAGCACTATATCCCATAATCCCAGTCCATTCATGTCGGACGCGGCCGGCAGGGTCGTCGTGTCCCCAATTCTTGCCGAAGAACTCCACTGTCGACGCAGCAAGATACTCACTAATGGCCGGATCCAAGACTGAGTCGTCCGTAGTTCCATAATTGGCCAGGCCGCCATTCTTACTCTCGCCGAACCCTCCACCGATGACGATATCGCGCGGATACTTTGATGTGTCAGGACATTGGATCATGTAGTCGAAGCCGCTGCCATAGTTGAAGGAATAAGTGGTGGAGAGACCGGATGCTGGTATTGCTGATCCGGGCCTATGTGCTGTCACCTGTCCGCGAACGGGGACTATGACACCCTGAAGCTTCGGGTAGATGGCTGCTGAGTAGCCGTTAGTCGCCATGATGACTTGCGCAGCTTGAATGTTGCCGCGCGGAGTCACGACGGTCCAGCCCTTGCTGTTTCCATAGTTGAAACCACTGCTCACGCTGTTTTCCTGCTTATGCAGACTGGTAACGGGCGTATTTGTCTGTAGGTTCAGGCCTTGGTTTAGACATAACTTAAGAAGCCCTATGACAAACTTATATGAACTGAGACTGCCTGCTTCGTACGTTACGGCTCCAGCAGCGCCAGGGACTAAGAATTTCTCTTCTGTTTCCTTTTTGCTCCAGAACGTGTATTTGCTAGCGGGGTGGTTTGGCATGACATTTTGCATGAATTTGACTGTCGCAGCGGCTTGCTCCAGTGATTCTTGATTGTATATCACGTCTGTTGTGTCAATATGTTCGCTCTCGCAGGCGATGTTATGCTTACGCGCAAAGGCGTGGACCTGCCTAACGGTGTTGAGTTCGAGTTTCGCGATTTTGATTGCTTCGTCGAGGCCCAGTTTCTCCACATTCGTAGGGAAGGTCGTATAAGAAGCTCCCTTGGTGTGGCCGCCTAATATCCAATTCCGCCGTATGTATTGAATTAGCTGGATTGTTCATGGGAAGTAGATTCTTCTCTGGGGACGCTATGTGCAAGTCGCCCTGGAAGTGACGCATTTTTGACCAGGGGGAAACATGGATGGATGATGCTGTCTCTCAAATGTATTTTCATATATAGCTTGGACGACAAAGGAATGAGTACCGTTTCTTCCTGTTGCTCCACTAACGGCGTTCCTCGCCTCTAGCATAACAATATTTGTCCCCGGAGCTCGACATAGTACATTATATGCAACGGCCGCACCAGATATCCCCGATCCGACTATTGCAATATCAACCTCTTCAGGAAGCTGTGTGGTTGAGCAAATATCCCCGATCTCATCTGGTGGGTTCTGCCAATATGAAACGGTAGGATTCGGGTGAGGAAGAGATACAGGTATAGAGATCCGTTCATCCATTTTGCCTTGGTTCTCGGTAGGTAAGAGAGCAAAGGATGCAGAAGAGAAGTACCAGTCTCTCGCGTTGGGGTTTCCCTCAGTTATATTTTAAACGGAAGAGGATGTGGGGTATAGAAAACCGGGGTCTAGTTTCCAACGATAAGTCCCGGATGTTGGAAATATATAAAAAGACATTATATCGACCTCGTAGTAGGCGGGTCTCCCATTCTGCTCTAAGAAAGAGTGCCAATGAAACAAAGTATGGCAGGAGAATCGGGGACTAGCGGAAACATCAGCTTGTTGGCCTCCCACGATCCCCATGACAGTGGCACCATATCCTAATGCGATCGCCATATCATCCGTCGCCCCATAGTACCACCACAATGTTGAGTTTGTTACCTTTTGCCTCAAGGGAATTCCCCGTGGCTACCTTGTCTGCATGTGCCGCCGATCAACTGACCGGTTTCAACCAAAACCTTGCTTGTAATACATAGAAGCTAATTTGTTCCACATATCTGATTGGAAAAGGTTGATTCTGTAAGTCAGACGATTCTCTTGGGTCAGAAGCCATGGTGGATGGAGCCATGACGTCCAGCGGATGGTAAGTTTGTCTGAGGCTCTGGATGCCGCACGGTTACAGGTGAACTTTATCGCCCGTGACCCGTTTATCGGAAGGGGTGATCAACCAATCAGCGATATTACCTAAGGTCATGTGACACTTTTTTTTGCTTCTTGCAGAGAACGACTCCAACTCGCAAATAGTAATTTCATATTTATTCCTGTGGCTTTCCACCCTGTGCAGCATTCTGCTGCCATGTTCTCGTCTCTGCACATAGAATTCATTATGCCTGCCACAAGTCCTGTGGTCAATTTGTTGGTTGGAACGAGCCTCCTCAATTTTGCGTGGTTGTATGGTCAATATACCCACCTTGGACTGGGATGGCTGTTTTCGGCTCCAAATTGCGCAGTCTATGTACCCAATAAAATGACTAATTGTGGACATTCACACCTTTTCCTTTGATGGTAGAAATATGATAAGCCCTAGCCGTTGCCTGCGCCTCCTCTCGGGGCTGGTTCGTCTCTATGTGTGGATGTGCAGGCTAAGATATTTTCGATCAGATGGCCGAAGTTCAGCACAGAGAAGGGATATTTCTCCTCACAAGCAATCTCTGAGCTACTACTACCTCTCGCCTCAACCCTGAAATATCTTAGTCCGGATCTTACCTGGGTATTACGGCAGCTAATGTTCTCGTTACTGCGACGTGGGCTTGATTCTTGATAGGAGATATATTCTCCTCCCAACATATTACAACGACTACGATATATTGAAAATCATTAACACTCTGTGTGGTGCCATCACGAATTGATTGAGTTATCCCGGAAGGAGTTGGCCAGCGCTCAATGGCCACCACGGATTACCTCCCCTGCAGCAGTCATACAATGGCATGTGGCAGCACAAGGGCACAATAAAGAATCTAAAACACGAAATGTCCTTTACGTTTTCAGAAATATCACGTAGGGTATTACCAGCCGACTGCATAGCCAGATCCCAAGAGCATACATGCATGCTGGTCTCATTTCCTTAATTTTCTGTGTACGTGACTGAAACTGGCAAGGACACTTCAAGGCCGGGCTTCGCAGCTTCGCATCAACGATTTTTCTAATACAGGAAATGGACTGCACTGTGTCCACCAATGGGCTTAAGCAAGCCACCACCAACACCAACATCACCAACTCAGGAGGCAAGATCAAGTCACGTGGGTTTGGCTGCACCAGCATCATATCAAGTTCCCCCCATTTGCTGCAGGTCGAGGCACATGGACAAGAGTTTCCCGGATATACTCCCTCGCTACTCGAAACTCTACTCTCGGCTTGTAACGTCGGCAGTTTGTTTCAAAAAAAAAGTTAAATGCACCCTATTCGTCTGCCGAATGATTTCAAGACCCTCGGAATGTAGACCCACGCCAATATCGTTCTGTTATGTCAAGTTTGGCGATAAATACGGGTTGCTGCTAAGCGATCTCCTTGGTTCCTTGTGGCCTCTTTCATGGAGGGAAAGTGGATTTTTTACTTTTTCGCCACTTGGATGTAAACATGGCACTGGGAGAAACGGCTTGAAATACAAGGACAAATTGGGAAAAGTAAGAGGGGAGGCCATTTCTTACTTTCCTGCCGGACACGGAGTTCCATTCTCAAACCTGCTGCTTAGTGTTAGGATCTATCCGGCAAACAAGGAAGGAGATAATAAATCACACAAAATCGCCGAACCAATTCTGGTCAAGATAAAGTGAAAATTTTTCAAGAAAGCACGTCCTGTTACGCCTGATCTACTTTCAGTGCTTATCTATATTCGCGCGCCTACATGTACTCCCGTACGCATAGTTTTGAGTGAGAAATTCAGCTGCTGGACGGCCTTTTCATATAGTATACTACTATATCTTGAAAAAGGTTCCCGCTGACACGTTGTTTTGATACCAAAGAACACATAAACCTACAGCATTGTTTGAAACTGCTGTCGTGTTTCTTCTGAGAAAGCTTTACAAAAGAGTTTTTATGTGTATGCCTGCAGCGCGCTTCGCTACCTTTCCAGCATCATCAGGTGCCGGGAGACGAGAAAATAATTCAATAGTCCGGATAATTCGATGGCTACTGAGGCTGCGATGTTCAGCAAGGATGATTCATTGAAAATCTTCCCCGGTTCCCTCTACCGCCTAAAATCTCTGACAAAACGAATGCCTTTGTATGAAGTACGCTGTGGAAACAATCATACACGCGTTATCGGTTATATTAGCCAAGAAGAGGTCCAGAGTCACCTTTAGGCGGTAACTGATGCCAACAGCTGTTTGAAATCGAATGTTTGATATCGCTGCTAGAGATTACACGTTTAGCGCCCCGATCTACAATATCGTGGTGTAGCTTGCTGTCAAACAAACGTTCCTGTCACGAAATTAACCTATTGCCATTAGCTATTAATATTTCCTTTTTTTTGGTAGGTTTTACATTTTGGGGAGCCTTGATCACAACTTAGGTATTTCTGGCATATTGCTTGCTCGAATCGAACTCCAGTATTCCGTATTCTTCGGCACCCCTGGCATATTCCCGGGTCAGGCAAGTCCTTCGGTGACTGCGTTGAATTGGTCTTGGATACGAGGGAAAATACTAAATGTCGTACCAAGCCACTGACCCCAAGCTTCAACGCCAGGCACTGCGATCAACCTGGATACAGCATACAACGATATGTAATTCGAATTAGAAGTGGTGAGGCTCGAGGACATCTCAAAGCGAGGCACTTTCATACCAGAAGAAATGCTAAGCCCTGCGAGTGGTTATTTCGGCCTCCGGTGGATATTCCATTATGGTTATCAACAACCATTCACATTAGTCTGCAGATATACGCTGGAATTCCGTATTGGAAAAGTTTTTCATTGTTGGCTACGAAATGTAATATCGACTTGGCATGTTTGCGGTCTGGCTTGTGAAAAGCCTTTTTGGTGAGCGAGGATGCTGATCCTCGCGGGCAGCTTTGTCTCCAGGGACTACCCGGTTCCCACAATAGTGTCTAGCCGGATGGTCTCCTCGCAGAAGAAGCACGATTGGGTGACGTGTGCTAGGTGACTTCATCAAGAAATTTTGACACAAGATATAATTCATGAGTTAAAAGCAATGTGGTATGATAAAGAAGGTGGGAAAAGGAATAGAAGAACTGATCACCTCGTCCAACACTGGGTGATCGTTCTCCGGAACATGAGAGGGTTGGTGTGAATTCCATCGCGGGGTTACATTGCATTGATCGACTGGGAATGGATATCATCATTCAGTTTTGGATGAGGACATGGCATTTTGAAAATCATGACGACGAAAAGTCGAGAGCCAGGGACAAAATGCGGATAGATCTCAGCGGGATCGTCCTCCTGGTAATGGCATCGGATAAATGTGGCTTGGATAACTACTGTACGGAGTACATGACTTGCATCAATCCCTCTAGCCTTCTTCCCCTCTTCATCTGCAGATCAGGATACGGGAGCACCTTACTCATTATGATTAGTGCGACTTCCTGTAAAATGCTATATTTAGCTTCGCGGTCTCCAACGCCTTTCCAACAGCCATACCCTGGACGTTTCAACTTCAAACACCAGTCTGTGGTCAATTGTTTGCTGAATCATGGGGTCTTCCTAAGGGAACGCGGCTTTTATAATAACCCAACTGAAATTAATACCATGTCATGAACACTACCAACGGGATAGTGATAGTGCTAATCTCTCCAATCTCCTGTTGGACGCAACCATACTCAAGTCGGTGGTGTATCGTTGAATATTGTTTGAAGAGTTTTCATCGGTCCCCAACCCCATCCAATATTTGCTGCAATTTGGGCCCTGGTCTTCCAAAGCGAGCTTCGCACCATGTAAACTTTGGCCTCGACAACTTGGCCATGGTTGAGATATTGCGTTCCGGATCTCGCTTTCGAAACAAGGATTTTTGTTGGTGGATTGAGCTGCGCACATTGGGTAACTGGATACACCATTTCTCTCTCTATTTATTGACTCAGCCGGGGAAGGGTTCAGGCTCTACGGTTAGCCTTGAGTCCCATTGATGTCGTTGCTGAATGATTTTGATTCTGGAGCCAGTTACACCTTGAATGTCCAGGGCCTCACGAACCTATTCGTATAGGGCAAAGAGACTTTACCCGCCCAATACCAAAAACCCATGCGCCACCTTAAGATGAACAAGTTACGCAGTGGAGGCCAGAGAAACGAACTGCTACCCCCGTCTTGGGACACACGAGCTCGCGATGCATGGGTCAGAACCAACTGCTCCGTCTTGGCGAATCTCTAGCGCACAAATTGAGTATGGAGCAGTTACATTCTGATACTTATTTTGCACCGAACACATGGGTCTATGAGCATAAATGGAGCCAGTATGACATGCAGGTCCGGCACTGATACTCGTATCCTCTATCGCGATGCGCTGTTGTGGTCACCATTGTGGTATTTCCCGTACAATCTGAGCTGGAGACATCCCTAGCAGGTCCATTTCTAGCATGGTGGAGTGCTGCATGGCTATATTTTTACTTGAGCTCTGACAACCCGACATGCTAAAAGCCTTCTTCAAAATGCCTACCGATTCCTGTGATAGCTCTCACTTGAGATTGTCGAGTTTTCTTCAAGCGGGAAATACTCATCTACAGCCATGTCTGAATCATACGAGGGCAGACGTTCGAGATCCACTGATCTAGGGAGCTATATAGTTTGTGAATCGGACCTTGGCTTCAAGATTTGTCTTACACGATCGCCGGAATGGACACACGGGAGTGGTTGATAGTTTTTTCGATCTTCTTGCTTTATTTGATGATAGCATTAAATTCGACCATCATTGTCCCGGTTCTTCCGGTATGTTCGCATCATCTACTTTATTCCGTCGGGACAATAGCCTTACTCCTTGTATGATAGACGATAGCTAGCGATCTAAACGGCACCGCTGTTGAAGCATTCTGGGCAGGAACCTCATTTCTCTTGACGTACGCCATATTTCAACCTTTCATCGCCGCCCTATCCGATATATTTGGACGACGGGAAGTGATGCTAGCCAGCGTTTCCCTTTTTACTGCCGGTTCATTAATCGCATGTTTGGCTCAAAACTTTTCCATGCTGTTAACAGGGCGTTCCATCCAAGGAGTGGGTGCCGGGGGTGTATTTGTCCTTGGATATGTCATTCTTACCGACATTGTCCCTCTCAGGCAACGCCCTAAGTTCACCGCAATTATTCAGATTGCATGGGCGATTGGAACCATACTTGGACCACTTTTCGGCGGCATAATTGCTGAACACTCAATATGGCGGTGGACGTTCTACATCAATTTCCCTTTCTGCGCGATTGGATTCGTAATAGTTCCCATTGCTGTTAGACTTAAGCGGCAGGAATCCACACTGATATATAAAATCAAACAAGTTGACTGGATCGGAGGTTCTTTATTCATTATCAGTATAACTCTCCTCCTGATAGCAATTTCTTGGGGCGGTACTCAATTTGCATGGGACCACATCGCGACATTCGCTCCTATGATACTCGGTATATTTGGAACCTTGTATACGATCTGGTATGAGTTCCAGATGGCGAACGTTCCGTTTTTGCGAAAGGGATTGTTCTATTGCCGATCCGCCATCGCCGCATACATCTGCTCGTTGATTCAGGGGCTAGAGGTACGTCAGAAGCACGAATATGTGAATTTTCTCGACCCCTCACCTGTTTCCCTTGGCTAACAAATGCAAAAACAGTTATACATTGCGTTGTACTATATCCCGCTCTATTTCCAGGCTGTAAAAGGCTTAAGCCCTGTTCTTACTGGAATCAGCGCACTCCCGATCACGTCTTCTTTGGTTCCAGCCAGCGTTTTTGTGGCGGGGATTATTGCTCGAACCGGTCTGTTTCGCTGTGCAATATGGATGGGATGGGTCCTCACAACGATTTCAACTGGTCTCTTGCTACTGTCGAATACCAATACTAAAACAGCTGTTTGGGCTACAGTCCTAATACTCCTTGGATTTGGGCATGGCCTCGTTCTTAGTGCACTCAATCTCGGGGTCCAGGCAATCTCTACTGTCAACAGCGTTGCTCACGCAGTCGCGATGTACTCATTCCTCCGAGCTGTTGGTGCTGCTCTTGGGGTAGGAATTGGAGGCACAGTCTTCCAGAACGCTATGTCCAAGAGGTTAAGTGTCCTAGGTCTTCCAACCGACATAGCAAAGAATGCAGAGGCGTATATCGAAGTCCTCCACACTCTTCCTGCGAATTCAGTTTTCAAAATCAACATTATAGAATGCTACGGCACAGGCATCCAAGGAGTCTTTACCGTAATGACTGGGTTCAGCGGCCTTGCTATGTTCCTCAGCTTCTTGAAGCAAAACACTCTATGGACAAGGACTTGGAGGACGAGAGTGTTTCAATCGAATACAAGAAACCTCTCCCGGATCGACCAATGATCAAGGCGCCCACATTAATCAACCCAGCACTTCCAGCACCAGCATACATGGCTAGCTCAAGTGACAATTACCTGGGTACGTTTGACTTTGAGGACTGTGAACCACAGCCGCCATACTTCGTGGCACATAGTGCTCCCCAGACGTTACGTACATGTGCGTGTACATATCGCGGCTACGTGCCATTTTCCTCTGCAACAGGAACTCGAATTTGAGGTTAATTTCCCTCCTCTTCCAGTATGTTGAACTCTATTCTATCCCCTCTGATTTTCTGAAATCAACTGTGTTATGGGAGGCGGAAGGCATCCCTCTGTGGGCAGATTTCTCGTGGCGATTGCATTGGAGCAATTTGTACTCGTCTTTGTTGGGAAGCTTCTCCAGCCTTTGTCGTGTACCAAGCGCGGTTCGTTCAAGGCTTGGTTGGCGCGGACGAAAATCGGCTATTCTTGTGGGAAAGCTTGACCAACCAGCTTTTTCTTGAAAGGAAAACACCTCAGATGAGGTTTTCTCGGAGCAAGTTGAACTTCTAGGCGCGCAGGGCCATTGCTTGCTGGAAGCGGGATGTGATCATGGAAGGTTTTAAGCGAGAGAGGATGATAATACTGCTTCATGCATCTAGGCCACCTATCTTGAGTAGAAATACTACAATGTGAAATTGGAATACTGCTGACTTGATGATATACACTAGTAATGATACATGAGGGGCAGTTCGTCACGCCACCATGAGTATTGGTAGTAACTTGATATTTGAATTTCACTTCGTGATATCGGGTTCTAGTTGAATGTGATTAGAAAAAAGTGTAACGTGGATGGAAATGAATTTCTAACCATGGCAAATGCGGATCATCAACATGACATAGATAGAGTTTATCCACCAAAGAGGATAGAAACTAATCATTGCCAGCCATTTGGAATATTTAGTTGAGAGGCCCTGCTTATCGGTGAGATCTTCGCTGATGGATCGCGCCATGATGACTCAGCCATAGTTCTGCCAGTCAACCGATTTAAGCTGCCAAGTTCAACCTCGAGGACAACAGAGAGCAAGCGACAAAGGGTTTTATTTATGGAAGAACTACAATTCTCGGACTTCCGATATGATATGTAGCTGTTCGTCCCTTCTCTTTGCGGGAGCTTCACATGAACAGCTACAGGCTGTCTATTCCCCGCGAAGTCTGGTCTTGTCGATTAGGCCATTGAGACGTCGATTAAATGTCGGTGCAAACGGAATCACCGTTCACTGTTCGATTGAGGACGATGCCGCAGAGAAATCCTGCACGTTTAGAAGAAGTGGCCAATGGCCGCATCGCTCACACATTGACCGCTTGTACACGGTGTAGACAGGTATATCCAGCCTTCTCCGGCCCCTTGCCTGTGCCGCTGATGTAGTACTATATCCTGTGCCCCTCATTCTCGTTCCACCGCTTTTGAATGTGATGTCCTTCTCTTATGATATGCCTCCTACATTTGCCACCGCTAATATTTAGGAATGCAGAGAAAATCGAGATGCGACCCCGGGATACCGCGATGTGAGCCCTGCCAGCGATCTAATGCGAAGTGCGTTTACTACGACCCAGCAAGAAATCGAACTATCTCAAGGACGTATATATTGCAGTTGCGCGAAAGGATAAAAATACTCAGCCAGGAATTAGCGCAGGTTGAGAACGAAATAAGCCATTCTACTGATGCCGAATTCATGATTCGCGGAGCAGGGCTCATTAAGTTCAAAGAGACGGATGAGCCTAGATTTCTGGGGCCGTCAAGTGGCATCACGATTACTCGGCTCATAATGGAAATAGCAAAGCAAAATACAAATTCGAAGAGCATTAAAGAAGTCGTAAACGAAGCTACCGCACAGGAAATCAAATATGCGTTTACGCTGGAGAGCCAAAAACCAACCTCGAAAATATATCCAATGATAAGTTCCGTTGCGGAGCCTAATCTCCCACCGCGGGAATTAGCTTACAGACTAATTGATATATTCATGGCCAAAGGTAAACTCCACGCCTCGCGACCGCCGTTCAATTCTCTGTCTCTCGACTGACCTCTTCTACTAGCTCAATACATGCTTCCCACCTTGCATGAACCTTCATTTCGCCGGGAAATAGATGCTGTCTTGGACGGATCCCAGGATCCTTGTCATAATTTCCAGGCTCGCCTTGTCATTGCGATCAGCATGCAGAAGCTCAGCCCACAGTATGCGGGATTAGCAGACAGTTACTATCTGGCTGGGCTTTCCCTTCTTAGATGCCTCAATAAAAAGGATGGACTTATCCACTCTGCAGTGTTTAGCACTCATCGCCCCAGTATTCTATTATTTGACGCCAACAAGGACTGCCGCGTATTGGGTA